GCTTTCTACCCCCGTAAAGATTTACACCCTCGGAAACCCTGTACAGGGTCGCTATGGGTCGGACCCGACTCGATGGCACTTAACAACAACAACAATGTAACTTTCTCATTTTACAAATTCTTGAGCATTTTCCTAAGTGTTTTTACTGTTCATTTGTGGTTGCTGCTTACTTTGTAGGTGTAACATAATGTAAAAATCAGAAAAACCAAAATAATCAATTTTGATTATTTATTAATATCAGGGGTCATCTTCCAAAGTGTTGGATTTGTTTATTTAAAAAAAAAAATTTAATAATTAGTATAAAAATATATCAATAAGGATTTTTTCCTACTCACGTGTTTTTATTTCCTTAGCAATCAACAAGATGTCATGTCAGTGTCAACTGAGTCTTCAGAATCCAGCACTTTAAATTTGCCTTCTTCAGAAGTTGAAATTGGAGCATTGTCTGAAGTGAACAATACTGAGAGTAGTTGTACAGAAGAAAGGAATGTTGACTTTAGAAGTGACTCACTGTAAGTATTTTATAGGGTATGATTTATTTATATACATTTACTGTGGTTAGATTTCTAAAATTTTTATGACATTATTAAAGATAATGTTCATTACTTTAAGGAGTAGGAGGAGACACAATAGACATCAAGGTTCCTTTCTAGATAGGCAAATGTAGACTTGAATCTGAAGTTACCTTGCATTGAAGGATCTTAATAATGCTTGGTTTTAAAAATTGGCTGTGACAGTTAAATGTATATCACAGTTATTTTTGTATTCCTCTTTGTTAGAACTGTTATTATGGTTGTGTTGTCAGGTGCCATAGAATCAGTACAACAGAATGAAACACTGCCCGGTTCTGCGCCAACCTCATAATCGTTGCTATGTTTGAACCCATTGTTGCTGTCACTGTGTCATTGGGGAATCTTTCTCTTTTTCTTTGACTCTCTACTTTACCAAGCACTGTTATTAATAATGAAAATATATAGTGCTATTTTGGTTGTAGAGGACCTGATAATACGCTCCTCTTTAGAAAAACACTCCTAAAGTCAAAACCACCCACCTAAAAGAAAACTTCCCATCCCTTATGGGAGGACACACTAATATATGGGAAGTTGGAAGATGAAACGAAATGGTTAAATGTACAACTTACTCCTCTCCTCTCTCTTTTACTGAGTTGAGAACATTTCTTTTTTACTTTATATTTCATCACAGAATGATTTTCATTCATTTTTGGCCTTAAAATAATGCTATTAATTTTAGTTATATTGTAATGTGATGAAATTTGTAAAATTCTTTGGAAGTTTAAATATTTGCTATGCCTGGTGTTAATATAGTAGAATTTGATATTGGTGACTTGAAGGAAGTGATGATGTATCTTTTAGTATGCATATTAAATTAAATAAATAAAATAAATTATTATCTTTACTAAAAACAGGAAAAAAGCACCACAACCATGTCCTTTTGAACCATGATTAAATGTTTCAGATTTCTTTTTTTTTCCCTTTTATAACTTTTTACCTCTTACAGGAAACTATTCTTATTATTAAATTTTACTTTTGCTAAAGCACATTTGATTCACATATGGAAATTAATTTCTTATAAAATAAAATTTTTATTTTTATTTTAAATTTTAATTTTAGTTTTTATAATAAAAGTATACGTTTTTCATTAATAAGTATAAAAAGGTTGACTTCTACTGTATTCTCATTCACTGTAAAAAGCAATTGGTGTTACATACATCTTGTCTTTCAGAAATTTTAAATAATGTATATTCAAGCTAATACAAACCTGTTTCTTTACATTTTTTGCTCTTTTTGAAAACCTAATGGCAACATACTCTACATTCAAATATTTCTTTTTCTTGTATCTTTTTATGAAGACTTTCCTTTTATATACTATGTGTATAGTATTCAGAGGTGTAAATGGGCTAGAATTTATATAATCAGTCCCTATAGGTGGATATTTCAGCTGCTTTTTTATGAAGAATGTTTGCACTATTAATTTTGTACCTATATCCATTCATCTACATGCAAATATATTTGTAAGATAACTATTAAAATGGAATTGCTTGCTCAGAGGATTTATATACACTCACATAAACACATGCTTTTAATATTATCAGTATTGCCAAACTCTCTCTATAGGACTGTATTTGTCTCCCTTTGTTGTTAAGTGCTGTGAAGTCAGTTATGACTCATAGTGACCCTGTATAGGGTTTAAGGAACAGCTGGTGAGTTTGATGAATCACTGACCTTGCTGTTTTCTGTCCAGTGCTTATCCTACAGTGCCTCACCATAACTCCTTGTCTCCCTTAATAAACCTTGCCAATAAACTATGCTATTAAATGTTTGGGTTTTGCTGGTGAGATATTTGAAAAATCATCTTAGTATAGTATACCCACCCAACCTCTTTTATTGGCAGAGGTGTGTAATTCTTTTGGGGGATCACTTGTTGGATTTTCTGTTCTGTTCCATGTGTCTGTTTATTCATAGACACAATTTTTTTTATTTAGTAATACTATATAGTGTATTTAACATCTGAGCTTGAACAGGCTAATACCTGCTTTGTTGCTTTACCTTTTTTTGCTGTGGCTGTTAGAAGTAAGTTTTTAAAGGAGTTCATTTCTGACTTTTGATGGTTGATTTTAGAATGTTTTAGAATTCCATTTGAGCATGACTGCATTTCTGATACAATTTCATAATGGTTAACTTTTTAGGGAAATTGATCAATCAGAACCTATTAAACCAATGGTGAGAGGACGACTCCAGAGACCTAAACCCAATTTATCAAGAGCAGCTGGAAAAAAAGCAGGTAGAATAGAATCAGAAAAAAAGAGTCCACATCCAGAAACTGCAGTTGAAAAGGTATGGAGTAAAAGATTTCATAGAAATTAAGGTTATAAAAGATTTCATAGAAATTAAGGTTATAAAAAATTTCCAAAAATTATAGTATATAAAAATTTTTAGCTAATACTTTTAGTATAACAGATACAAGAACTTACAATTTTGTGATTAATTCTTAGTTTTTAGTTTCCCATTTATATTTTCTTTTTAAGCTTTTATTGTGAATCAAGTGATAATTTACATGACAGAACAACGATTTTGCACTCAACCAGTTGTATTTTGTTTCAGTGCGTTGATTACAATCCCCTCCATGCGCCATCAGTTAACAGTATTTGCCTTTATTCCCACTGTTCATTTTTATTTATGTATTTATTTATTTTTTGGTGTACACAAGAACACACAGGAATATATAATTGTTTAAACAAAGGACACATTTTGCAAGCCAGCATCCTGCCCACTCTATCTCTCCATGCCATCATCTGTGTCACTGGTGTCACTGCTTCTTCTCGTTAGGATCCCACATTCCACTCATGATCTTCCCTCTTGATGGTCCTAGGGTCCTCTGTTCCTGTAATGTAAGATTAACTTTTTTTAAAAACTTTTTGTTATGAATTGAATGAAGGTTTACAGAGTGGATCATGAGTTCCACATTCAACAAAATCATATATTTTGCTTTATTATATGGTTGCAATCCCCTCCATGCATAAATAATTAAGAACATTTACTTCTGTTCAGTTTAACCACTGCATTCCTCCCACCACCTCCATCTTTCCTCTTTCACTGGTTAGATTTATTTCCTAAATATTTCATCTTTTTAGTGGCTATCGTAAATTGTACTATTTTCTCTTTAGAGCTGTCTTTCTCGGTATACTGATTTTTTTTTTTTTTTTTTTTTATGTTGATCTTGTGCTCTGCCATTTTTTGCTGAATTTTCCAATGATTTCCAGTAGTTTTTTTGCTGAGTCTTTGGGATTATCCATGTATAGGACCGTATCATCTGTAGAGAAAGTTTTACTTCTTCTTTGCCAATTTGGATACCTTTAATCTCCTTTTCTTGCCTTATAGCTTTGGCTAAGACTTCCAACACAATGTTGAATAGGAATGGCGATAACAGGCATCCTTGTCTGGTTTCTGTTTGCAAGAGGAATGCTTTCAGTTTCTCCCCTGTATGTTTTACATAATTCAAGTATCTTTAGTGATAATAAATCTCTTTTATTTGCATACATAAAATTTTTATTTGAAAATATTATTTTAAATCAGCTAGACATAAAAGGTTAGCTGAAGAACACAAAGTAAAGTATTCTAATGAAATATATAAATATTTTGAGTTAGAAACCAAAAGGGAAGAGCTCACTTGGCATTTCTCAAACTGTAGAGCAAAATTCAAGCCTTGGATTACCATATTGAAAGAATGTATGGGCAAAAGAAGGAAGAAATACTCATTTATTGTACCAAAAAGAGTTGGTTGATACTCAGTCATTTCAGGAGGTTGTTTGAGCAAGAACTGATGGTACTGAAGCAAGACGTCTAAGTTGCGCTGGAAGCATTGGCAAAATACAAGCCTCCAGGAATACCAGTGCTTCGACCGTTGGATGCAGTCCTGGGAAAGTACCCAGTTGTATGTCTCAACTAATTTGGAAGAAAAGCCACCTGGTCAACTGACGAGAAGAGATTCATATTTATGTTCATTTCAGAGTGATATCAACTACCACTAATAACTAATGCACGTAAAATTTTGCTGAAGATAATTAGAAAATGCTTGCAGCAGTATTTTGACAGTAAGAAATTTAAGATTGATTTAGAAGAGGATACTGAACAAGTGCTATTATTGGTTGTTGATATCAGCTGAAAGTAGACAATACTAGAAAGGTGTTTTTCTATATTTTATTGACTAAAACGGCACTTGACCGTGTGAATCATAACAAATTGTGGATAACATTGTGAAAAATGGGAATTCCAGAATACTTGCTTATGTGGATCCTGTACATAGACCAGGAGGCAGTTGTTGAACAGAAGAAGGGAATTATTACATGGTTTAAAAGCAGGAAAGGTGTGCTTTCAGGTTATAACCTTCCATGATATTTATTCCTTCTATATGCTGAGCAAATACGCTGAGACATTGGACTATATGAAGAACACAGCATCAGGATTGAGGAAGACTCATTAACAACTTGTGATATGCAAATGACACAACCTTGCTTTCTGAAAGTTAAGGGGACTTGACGCACTTACAGATGATTACAGACTACAGCATTTACTATGGATTTCACCTTAATTAAAGGAAACAAAAATCTTCACAATGGGACCAATAAGCAACATCATGATCAGTGATGAAAATATTGAAGTTGTCAAAGATTTAATTTACTTGGATCCACAATCAATGCTTATGTCAGCACCAGTCAAGAAATAAGTGACCTGTTGCATTGGTTTAGTGCTGTGGGTTAGTGCACTGGACTGCAATGTTAGTTTGAACCTCAAGGTTGGTGGGTTAAGCTCACCACCTGCTCCTTGGAAACTCTATACAGGTTCTTTATGGGTCAGAACAGACTTGACAGCCTTACCAACAACAAGTGCATTGGGTAAATTTTTGCACCTCTCTGTGTTGTGTTAAAAAAAAATTTTTTTTTCATTTGTTTCAAATGCATGCAAAAACTGGGCGATGAATAAGGAATATCAAAGAAGATTTGATATATTTAAATTATGGTATTGGTGACGAAGCTTAAATATACCAGGAACTGCCAGAAGAAAGAAAATCCCTGTCTTGGAGGAAGTATAGGCAGAATGCCCCTTAGAAACAAGGATGGTGCGATTTCATCTCTTGTTCCTTGGGCATGTTCTCAGGAGTCTTGTGTGTCTTTGGGGAAGGAGTTTATGCTTCGTAAAGTAGATAATCAGACAAACAGTAATATCCTCAAATGAAGTCGATTTACACAGTGGCTGCAACAATAGTCTGAAATAGTAATGATTTCAAGGAAGGCACAGGACCTAGTAATGCTTGGTTACATTGTTTGTAGAATTGCTCTGAGGTGTAACCAACTCGAAGGCAACTAACAAAAGCAGTACTTAAATTATAACCATAACTCTCATTTCAACATGAGTGTGATCTTCTTTAATATTTCTATGTATGTAAGATTTCTGTAGTTTTAAATCATAATATGTTTTAAGATTTTTAAGGTTATTCTTACACTATTCACCTATAGTTTCTTAGTTCTGATTGATCTGTTTAACTGTATTGTGTTAAAGTGTTATTAATATACATATAATGCCTCTAATGTTAGAGTTTTAGTAGTATTAATTCTGTTTTATACCCAATCTGGTACTTAACATTCCATAAGTATTATTCTGTGTCATTAAACATTTTGAAAAACATGGATTTTCAGTGACTTCACAATACGCGATTCTGTGGATTGTTGTTAAGTGCTATTGAGTCAGTCCCGCCTCATAGTGACCCAGTATGGGGTTTCTGAGGAGCAGCTGGTGGGCTTGAACCACTGACCTTTTATTTCAGACCGACTTTGCAGTCTAGCGCGTTAACCTAGAGAGCCACACCAGGACTCCTAATTTATTTTATTTAATTATCTTGACTCCTGGTGTAGTGCTGTAGAATCAGCACTGGACTGCAAACCACATGGTTGGTGGTTCAAACCTACCAACTGCTCCTCAGAAATACTATACACGGTTGCTGTGAGTTGAAACTGACTCAATGGAACTTAACAATAAAAATAAAACTATTTATTTATTTTTAATGTTTTATTGTGAATTATGTGATAGTTTACATGGGAGAACACTAGTTTTACATTTATCCTATCATATACACTACAAGCCTGCCCCCTGGTCGTCAGCATACAGCCCTTCTCCCTCTCTGGGTCTAAAGTCCCCAGGTGCTCCATCTCTCCATGTCATCATCTCTGCCTCCATCTCAGGCATCACTGTTTCTCTAGGTAGAGTCCCGCTCTCTGCTCTTCTCCACTGATGGTCCCAGGTTCCTCGGCTCCTAGACTGAAAAGTTAATCACAACCTTCTTTGCTACAAAACGTCTGCCTTTACATTTCCAACCCTCACAGTCAGTCCTGATAACAATTATTCACTATCATATTGTAGGAGACCTATCTGCATTTCCTTTCATCAGCCCCGCCTAGACAGATTGGATACTACTCAGTGGAGATACTACCTTTCTCCATGCCCTCTGGATCTAGGTTCCCCCTTGAAAGCTTATAAGCCAGTCACTTCATGCCATTGTAGCCCCCCATTTTGGGTAGCCAATGTCCAATCAGCTATTTGCTTTTTACTGAATATTTTATCTAAGTATTTTTATATCTGATTTACGTAATGTTCCAATGAACATCCTAGTAAATAAATATTAGACATTTTCTCTGTAATTGTTTTCCTAGAATAGAGTCTTTATTATTACTGGGTTAAAGAGTGTGAACATTCATAAGCACTTATTAGTAGAAGACCTTCCAAAAAGGATTTACTGATTTATACATCCAAAATTAAGGAGCCCAGGTAGCATAGTGGGTTATGAGTTTGGCTGCTAACCTCAAAGTCAGCAGTTTGACTCTTATCAGTTGCTCCACAGAAGAAAGATGAGGCTTTTTCTGTTCTTTTAAAGATCTACAGCCTCAAAAAACCTATATATGGTTGCTATCAATCAAACCAACTAGATGGCAGTTAAGAATAACAACAACTCACACCATTAATAGATGAGATTATTTATTTTCAACATTTTCACAGCTGTATTTAGGATTTTGAACTTGTCTTCTAATTAAAAGTATAAAAAATAGATACCATTATTATAATTTATACATATTTATGACAAAGCTTAAAAAATAATATATTAACTAAAAAAATTAAATTCATAGAATCACATGGAAAGGGATCAAAGGAATACATCTGGCAGCTTGGGACTGGAGAATACAGAGAAACGAAACACAGAAACTGAGACTGTATCTAAGTAAGTATTCTAGGAAGTAGAATAAAATTAATAGCTCTTAGGAATGATTGCAGTAACTTGTTCTCTAATTGATAACATTTGAATTATATTTTCAACTGGTGTCCATTTCAGTTATAGGTGTTGCAGAAACAGTTAAAAAATGTCTCTATATTTGGAATTGTAGAAGTAAATTATAGTATGGTTCCATTGACCTAGCAATTACATTTGTCTCTGAATTTATTTATTAGAATTTTCTTCTTATTAAATAAATTAAGAGTTAAGAGCTATAATCCTGGAATTTTCTTTAAAGCAAGGGGTTTCATAAGGACATTTATTATTTGGAGTGGAGATTTAGAGCAGAATAGGTGTTATTGAACAGACCTTGCTCCAATATGAATCTAAACCAGTCATTCTGGACTGTACTAGAGGCTGCTATTTGCACTATAATTGCTTTACTAATTCTTTGGAGTTGTATATTACACAGACCCTGAGGGAGAATTGGTATTAACATGCTTATCAGATGTGGAGTTTTCTAATTTTGTGATGAAAATTTAATTTACAAATGCCTTTTATAGTCAGGTTTCCAGGATCATGTTATAGTTATATGATTATCTCTGAAGATGTGAATTATGTTTCAGATCATATGTCTTAACTTGTATTTAGGTGAAGTAAACACTAGAAAAAGCAAGAGTATATGAATTAAGAATAAACATTTTTATTCCTTTGTAACTGTTCTAGTTTGAGTGAAAACATTTGTCTGCAGAAAGATAATCAATCAAAGGCTTTCAGATCGGCACGACTAACAAGGAGCCGATTGCAAAGGCCAAAACCAAATGTAGGTAAAGTTGCTGAAAGAAATGAAATTCTAGCATCCCAGGAAATAATGGGGACTGATGGAGAAAAGAATGAAAATGAATCCTGTATTGATAGAGATGTAAGTACTATGATCCCCCTAGGTTTTTTTTTTCATTTTGGTGCCAAACAATTAGAGCCTCAGGATAAATATCCTCACTTCCTTTTTTTTTAATTTAATGTTTTATTGTGAATTATGTGATATTTTACATGAGAGCTTTAGTTTTACATTCATTCTATCGTATATCGTTTCATTGCCTTGGTTCCAATCCCCTCCATGCATCATCAACCCACCAAAGTGTATACCCTACAAACCC